GCTCCTTGCTCAGCAGGGAGCTTGCCTCTCCCTCCCCTCTGTCTGCCGCTCCTCCTGCTTGTGCTCTCCCACACTCTGTCAAATAAATAAATAAAATCTTTAAAAAAAAAAAGAAAACAGATTTCACTGCCCTTATCAAATAACATACTTTTTTTTCCCCTTTAAATGATAAGTACATACTTTTTACCTTCAAATTACAATAGAGCAATCTTTATGCCCATAGTACCAGTTTAGACACCAAAAATTTATGAGTAGTAGTATACCATGAGCCTTGCCATTACAGAGCTTGATAGGTATTTATTCCATTAGAGACCAAGATCAAGGGTCATTGAAGCCTCATAAACTAGGATGATATTTTGGCAGAGAGTGGTAAAGAAAGGGTGATGAACCTAAACTAAGGTACACTGGCAGGATTAATCAAGCCAGCAGCACAGAAAGAAATCTGAGGACCTCGCGTTTGGTCAATGACTTTCAACCATTTTCCATCCCAACGCATCAATAGCAGTGACTCACTAAGGCAATGATTCTTATCCCCTTCCTGAAAGATTCTGATTTTTGCACCACTCCTTGAAAAAAAAAATCTCTGGTTTGGGTTATTTTTTCATATAAACACTGTAAGTCACCAATACTCGTCACCTATCCGCAGCCTCCCAAATCTTTACATTTGAAACACGAGTTTCCCAAAGTCTACACCGGGTGCCTGTCCGCAGCTTCAATGCATCATCATGTCCTTACTCATCCCTCATGGAGCTGCTTCTTGCTCCTATTAAACACTTCCCTTGGGGCGCCTGGGTGGCTCAGTTGGTTAAGCGACTGCCTTCGGCTCAGGTCATGATCCCAGGGTCCTGGGATTGAGCCCCGCATCAGGCTCTCTGCTTGGCGGGAAGCCTGCTTCTCCCTTTCCCACTCCCCCTGCTTGTGTTCCCTCTCTCGCTGTCTCTCCCTCTCTCTGTCAATTAAATAAATAAATAAATAAATAAATAACTTCCCTTATCGGGGCGCCTGGGTGGCTCAGTCATTAAGCGTCTGCCTTTGGCTCAGGTCAAGGTCCCAGAATCCTGGGATCGAGCCCAGCATCGGGCTCCCTGCTCAGCGGGAAGCCTGCTTCTCCCTCTCCCTCTCCCCCTGCTTGTGTTCCTTCTCTCACTGTGTGTCTCTGTCAAATAAAGAAATAAAATCTTAAAAAAAAAAAAAACTTCCCTTATCTGTGACAGGTGTAAGACAGCTAAGGCAGGGGCCCATCTCCCAAGGGGAGATGAGGCAGGTAAGTCGTGAAGGCGGCCTGTTAGCCACAAGCTCCTCATATGGATTAGTAGTCCCCCAGTAACTTGGATTTAATCTGCGAGGAGAGTTCCTGCTTTTTTCATAATCCCATACTTTTAGATTTTAGATAGGTTTTCGTAGAAAACAAGAACAAGTCCTATAATAAACAGACCCTTCTAAGCAAGAGCTCTGTGATACAAAGAATGACACCAGATGGCATTGTCATAGGACCGCAAGAATGATGAGAAGTAGACGGTTTTTAATATTTATGCTTCTCCTTCCAGACATCTTGCATATTTGATAGAGCTTTGTTTTTGGATAGGCAGTTTTGGGTTTGGTTTTGTTTTTTGTTTTTTGGGGTTTTGTTTTTGTTTTTGTTTTTATTTTTTAAGAAGGATTTGTCCCTTTTTTCACTTTAGCCTATTCATTTTTGCCTCGGTTTCAGACATGATACTACTTATCCTCCTTTCTATTTCAGAGACTATAATACACATATGGGAACTACCCACAAGTCCTCCCAGGCTAAAACAAATCTATGGAGCTTCAGCCCTATGCTGAGAAATAAAGGCTCACATTTCTTACATAGTCCCTGGTTTTCCCAGGTTACTAAACTAGATTTTAGGGACTCTTGGGTGGCTCAGTCGGTTTAGCATCTGCCTTCAGCTCAAGTCATGATCCCAGGGTCCTGGGATGGAGTCCCGCATCGGGCTCCTTGCTCAGCAGGGAGCTTGCCTCTCCCTCTGCCTGCCGCTCCCCCTGTTTGTGCACGCTTGCTCTCTCTCTCTCTCTCTCTCTCTCTGACAAATAAATAAAATGTTTTTTAGGAAAATAAACTAGATTTTAAATAGAACCGCTTAAGGGGCACCTAGGTGACTTATTTGGTTAAGCATCCGACTCTTGATTTCGTCTCAGGTCATGATCTCAAGGTGGTGGGATCAAGCCCCGCGTCAGGCTCTGCATTCAGCACAGAATCTGTTTGCGATTCCTTCTCCCTCTGCCTCTGTCCCTCCACCTGTTCTCACACTCTCTCAAATAAATAAATTTTAAAAATAAAAAATAAATAGAACTGCTTAATTATCATCTTCCCTTCAACTGCACTTTCTTCTCTGATACATTTCACCTCTGGTTTCTGTAGTATTTGAGCAAGATAAAGATTCAACAGATTGAGAAAGACCGAGGTGAATGGGATAGTCTGACTCCAGAAGCCCGCCGAGAGAAGGAGGCTGGCCTACAGATGTTTGGACAGCTAGCACGTTTCCATAACATCATGTCCAATGAAACAATTGGTACCCTTGCCTTTCTGACATCAGGTAAGGACACAAAGCACTGTATTCCCAAAAAATCCAGTGGTCAAGATCTGCTTCATTTGAGTGATCAGCCCAGCTGAAACTAAGAATTCAGACTCTGGCAATAGTACCCTACACAGTCTGAGAGGGAAATGAATCACTAGAGAAGCTTCAAGAAGGATGATGCCCGGGGCACCTAGGTGCCTCAGTCAGTTAGGCGTCCAACTCTTGATCACACAGCTCAGGTCTTGATCTCAGGGTCGGGAGTTCAAGCCCCGCGTTAGATGCCACGTTGGGCTCCACACTGGGCATGGAACCTCCTTAAAAAAAAAGATGCCTGTTGTTGACATGGGAAACATTCACCCTCACACAGCTGCCAGAAAACGTAAGTTGGTATAATTTTTCTTGAGAACAAGTTAGCCATATAAATGTATCTGGGGGAATTTGTGTATATGTTCACCTGAAAACCATTCTTGAACTCTGGTTAAATGTGGTAGATCAGAGGCACTTATCTCCACTCTCTCTCAAGCTAGAGTGTCCAATTCAGTAGCCATTTGCCACATATGGCTATCAGGCATTTTAAATGTGATTAGTCTGAATTGAGATGTGCTAGAGCTATAAAATACCTCAAAACTTAGTATTTTTTTAAAGTAAAATATTTTATTAATACTTTTATATTGATTACATATGAAACGATAACCAAGGATCACCAAACATTTGAGGAAATCCTCCAACATGAAACACAGATACTGGATGAAAACTTTTAAAAAAATCTTTATAATCGGGCACCTGGGTGGCTCAGATGGTTAAGCGTCTGCCTTTGGCTCAGGTCGTGATCCCAGGGTCCTGGGATCGAGTCCTGCATCAGGCTCCCTGCTTCTCCCTCTCCCTCTGCCTCTCTCTCTCTCTGACTTTCATGAATAAATAAATAAAACATTTTTAAAAAAATCTTTATAATCTCAGGAATAAGAGAAGATATAGCATCCATAAAACAAGAACAAAGAGGCAATAAGTCTTATTCAAAGAACAAGAAAGAGCACTTGGATATGGAAAATACAAGTAATTTTTACTCGTCAGTAGAAGGGTTAGAAGATCACATTAAGGAGCTCTTTCATGAAAGTAGAACAGAAAGAAAAAGAGATGGAAATTAGAATGAAAGGAATAAGAAAACAAAGGATCAATCCAGAAAGTCTCAAAAGAGAAAAATGGAGTAGAGGAAATTATCAAAGAAATAATACCAAAAATTCTCAAAGACTAAAAGCCTTTGAAAGGGCCACAATGTGCCCAGCACAAGGACCTTTTAAATTCTCACACTAAGGTGACATTGTGACATTTCAGGAAATCAAGGTAAAGAGAAGACCCCAAAAGGTCCCAGAGAAAAGTCAGGTGATCTACAATGGTTTAAGTATAAAACGTCTTTGATTTTCACAACAGTGACATTGGAAGCTGGAGCACGCTCCTCGTGGAAAATAGTTTTTCAGCCCAGAATGCTATAGCCAGCCACACTGTCATTTCTGGTTAGGGTGAAGGTATCAGATTTACTTCCAGTGTACCGTTTCTTGAGAAGCTACAAAAAGATATACTCCATCAAAGTGAGAGAGTAAATCCAGAGGAGGAAGGTGGAATCCCATAAGAGAGAGACAAAGGAAGTGTCCAGGATTGTGGTAAAAGGAGCTTGTGTGACCACCACGCAGCAGGCTTATAGAGCAAGGAGTCCAGATTGGAGTGACAGATGGGAGCTTCCAGAAGGAGCATTTCCAAAAAATACAGAACTGCTAGAAATGATCCTATCAAGAGTTTTACATTTCTGGTGGAGAGTTTAGAAAGATTTAGTGATTGGTACTCTGAAGATAAGCAAACAAATTTTCACAAAGTTACATTAAAAACTGTATATATTACTGGGGCACCTGGGTGGCTCAAATCGGTTGAGTGTCCAACTCTGGTTTCAGCTCAAGTCATGATCTCAGGGTCGTGGGATCAAGCCCCACATTGGGTTCAGTGCTCAGTGGGGAGTCGGCTTGAAGAGTCTCTGCCTCTGCCGCTCCCCCCACTCATGCACCCGCTCTCTCTCTCTCAAATCTTTTTTTTTAAGTATATATATTACTTTATATATGTAATCATTAGGACACTATATGGCTCTGCTGTGAATGATTTTTACAATCTTCATGACATAAACAAAGATTTGATTATATACTGGAATTTGTATTTGGAAGAGAAGGACAGGAAATAAGAGCTAAACTCTTCATCAGTCGTGGAGTCAATAGACTGACTAAAAATATAACTTACTAAAACCCGGCATGTGTTAATGTACTTTTTTAATTTTGGAGTTTATGTCCTGTGCCCTAGCAATTCCTTATAAATTCATTATAAGGAAGTAGTAAGTCTACAAAATAATGTACACAGTGAAGTTAATAAGTGAAATGGTGGGGCACCTGGCTGGCTCAGTCAGTGAAGCATGTGATTCTTGGTCTCAGGGTTGTGAGTTTGAGCCCCATGCTGGGTGTGGAGATTACTTAAAGTCTTTTTTTTTTTTAAATAGATAGATATGAAATGTTTATAATAGAATGTCTAGCCGTAAAAATAATGTCTAGCAATAAGGATAAATAAATAACTTCAGGTACAGTCACATGCTGGAAAATTATGTGGCCATAATAGTGATGAGTGCAAATCATCACTATCCTACAGACCTTTCTCTGATGGAAATGCTCTATAAATCTGGACTCATACTGTAGATACTAGCCACGTGTGGCTATTGAACACTTGAGATGTGAGATCAGTGTGACTGAGGAACTGAATTTTTAAACTGATTTAAATAGACACATCAGGCCAGCCAGTGGCTACCATGTTGGACAACACAGGGAAATATATTTACCAAAATGGTGAGATATTTATGATATAGTTACTGAAAAAGTAAGTTACAGAATAGGTACACATGATCATCATTTTATTTTAAAAATGTGTATGTTTGTAAATACGGGCAGAAAAGCTAGAAGGATGTATTTGAAAATGTTAACTGTTTATTTCTGGGTGGTAGTTTTATATTTTGTTTTTGCTTACCAGTGTTTTTTAACATTCCTGCAATGAAAATGTATTACTTATATAATTTTTAAAATACTCCCCAGAGGTCTCCAAGTGAAACTCTAAGACATAATAAGTAAAAGATGGCTTATGGGTTGAGTTTTCACAGACTGCCTTTTTTTCTAGAGATCAAATCACTCTTTGTGCATCCTTTCCTGGCTGAGCGCATCATCTCCATGTTGAACTACTTCCTGCAGCACCTGGTTGGCCCCAAAATGGGGGCCTTAAAAGTCAAGGACTTCAGTGAATTTGACTTCAAACCCCAGCAACTCGTATCAGATATCTGCACGATCTACTTAAATCTTGGGTACCTGAGATTTAATTGGGCAAGCCAGAGGGAATGCTGATGTTTTAATTTGGGGTTTTGATAATGGAATGACTGGTAATTATGTGGAAATAGAAAAGAAATGGTTCATTTCTAGTTGGTTGATGAAGGAATTTTACGTAGTTTTAATCATGAAATTTTGTCCGACCTTCAGGACACTGTTTAAAATTTTCAACATTCTGCCATTATCTGTGCAAAGATAAACTTTACCAGTTGTAACCAATGTTTAGAAAAGCAGTATTCTTTTTAAGGTTACAGGAATACTTGATAAATTTCCTTCCTAAAAATTAGAAGAAATCTTTCTATATCAAAAGAACATTAATGGCATGTAAGTGATGGGGAACCTTGTTCCTCAACCCAGCTGTTCTCTCCCTCACTGACCTGCCCTCTGTTGCTCAGTTTCTTTCTGATGCTGACCTTCCAGGGACGAGGAGAACTTCTGTGCCACGGTGCCGAAGGATGGACGTTCCTATTCCCCAACTCTCTTTGCACAGACAGTCCGAGTCCTGAAGAAAATAAATAAGCCCGGGAATATGATTGTGGCTTTCAGCAACTTAGCAGAAAGAATCAAGGTGAGGGGGAGGAGGACTTGTTTATTAACATACTCAATAGAAGTCACTGTGTTAACTCAACTCTTCTGCTGGTTACCCTCATTTCAAGGGTATTGCCTTGAGAAAATATAAACAGATGATTCTTCCTGGTCAGTGAATAACTAGAACTCCTGGTCAGTGAGTAACTAGAACTACCTTTTTTGGGTGTTTTTTGTTTTTAAGTTTTTATTTTGATTCCAGTTAGTTAACATACAGTGTTAGTTTCGGGTATACAATAAAGAATTCCATACAGCACCATATCCTATCATCTTATCACTACCATATTCTTAATTCTCTTTTCAATGTAAGAGAGAAGAACAGAAAATTGATTTAAGAAGCTTCTACTAGGGGCGCCTGGGTGGCTCAGTCGTTAAGCATCTGCCTTTGGCTCAGGTCATGATCCCAGGGTCCTGGGATCAAGCCCTGCATCGGGCTCCCTGCTCTGCGGGAAGCCTGCTTCTCCCTCTCCCACTCCCTCTGCTTGTGTTCCCTCTCTCGCTGTGTCTCTCTCTGTCAAACAAACAAATAACTAGCTAGCTTCTACTAGAAGAGAAGAATGCACAGACTTCTGTAGACTGTTTCTATGAAATCTTTTCTGCACAGTGTTACCAATAGACTTGAAAACCTACATTGTTAACGCAGAACTTTTTCAAATAGGATTCAAGATCAGTTGTTTTTAGTCATTTAATTTGTATAGATTTTCTCTGTTCACTATATTTGTAGTTAGTACTTGGCTTATATGGGCATAGTCCTACATTTTATAGATGAAAATACTATCTTATATTTAGCTAATCCCTTTGGTTGGAGTTTGACAGAGCTCCATTAGTTACAAAGAAGGAAAAATCATGGCACAGACTCTAATAGAAAACCTTGCTTATTTAAAAAAAGAAAAGAAAACCTTCCTTGTTGACATGCATGTTCCTTTCATTAAACTACTTTTTTTATTGAGTTGGGCTCCATCTTGCCTAGAGCTTAGCCAGATAGGTCCCTGAGGAACTAGAGTCATAGTTAGGGATCAAATGTTGAAGCTACTTTTAAACTCCTCCTATACCTGTTTGTAACATAAAATCAGAAACTGCTTTTCGCACACTGACTACATGAGTGACTCTGCAAATAATTCTCCTACCACTGTCCCCTTTTCAGTGATGACATTTACAGTAGGACTGCTGCCAGGAGGATCTTGTATGTGATGCGTTTCTTTTTTTGTTAACACTTAAACCCATCTTTAGTCATGACTGCCAGCAGCTGAGCCACACTGAAGTTTGGGAATTGGGGTTGAATGCTAAACACACTTTTATAAGATCCTTCTTGGCTCGTTTAGAAAATAAAGCTGAGATTGTCACTGTCGCTCTAAAGGGTCCTCAGTGACCTTTTAAGATTATAGTCACTGAATATTTGGGATTCAGCTGCTCTGTGAATTCACCTTAACGACCAGGTGTTTGTGCTTAGTCTCTAGCAGACCTCCAACAACAGGAGGAAGAGACCTATGCAGATGCCTGTGATGAGTTCCTGGATCCCATCATGAGCACACTCATGTCTGACCCTGTGGTGCTGCCATCCTCCAGAGTCACTGTGGATAGATCCACCATTGCCAGACATTTGCTCAGGTATGCTAGCCCCAGAGAGCAGCCCAACAACAGACGTGTGTGTGTTTGCTATCCTTTTCCCCCAGTTTCCTAATACAGTTCTATGCACCCAGTAGGTGCTCCATATTGTTGGTTTATTAATGAGTTGGGGAGGCATTTCGAGAGAGGTATATCACTTGATTGTTAAGGATTTAAACATCCAAAACAAGATACTCTCTTGAGAAATGCTGGCTCTAACCCCTTACCTGTTCCTTCCTTGAGGAAATCATTTCTATCAGATGTTATAAATAATGTTAACCTGAAGACTTGAACTTGTTCTAATTGTATTAAGTTGCAAAAATACAAATGACAAGTTTGTTTTGTTTTGTTTAAGTCGGGTTTTACGCTGTAACCATCGCATATAGGTTAAGCCACCTTCTGCTCCTGCTGTCGTACGCAGCCACGGTGGCCACGGGTCCCACCGAACCTGCAGGCAGGACCTGCTGCATTAGGTAGAAATGGGTACTGAGTAACTCTTCCTGCTTAAAATGAAGTTCTATAAATTGACCCAGATTTAAGGGAATACTATTTATTAAACACTGCAAAAGGGGATTTTCTACTTTGTGGTATTTGGTATTAAGCATTCACTATACACGTAATGCTGTAGTAGGCGGTCTTTCTTTTCCAAAGTGTCAGTGAAAATTTATATTTTATTGTGGCCTCAGGATACAGACAGAAGATATATCAGCCCTTAAAGTATATTATAAACCTTCTTACCTGTCAGGAATCCGTAATCTGCGTTTACTTATGTAGCACACAGCTAACTAAATCAGGTGTCAATCTACGAGCCTTTATCCCCTAACACCTTAGACTATTTCGAGAGCCTGTCACTAAAACTACCAGCAGCTCTGTACGCTGACGTGAGTGTACAGGCTCTCTGCCTTACTGCCTTATCTGAATAGCAATGTGGAAATAAAGTTTATTAAGGAGCAGAGAGACCAAGTAGCTAAATAATCTGCAGAAAACCCAGAAACCTCCTGAATCACTCTTTCTCTCATCTCCTCCTTTCTAACCTCAGGTCAGCGCCTGACTCAGACTTACAGTGTGTCTGGCTTCAGTCTCAGAGGGTGACGGGCCCACTTTTCTAGCTTGGGCTTTGGCTGTTAGAACTTACAGAAATAACCACTTTCCCTTTCTCTCTTTGTCCCAGTGACCAAACCGATCCCTTTAACCGTAGTCCCCTCACCATGGACCAGATCCGGCCAAACACAGAACTAAAAGAAAAAATCCAGCGGTGGCTCGCAGAGAGAAAACAACAACAAAAGGAGCAACTTGAATAAATACTGTGAACTAAACAAACCAAAAACAACCAACTCCAGAATGTAGATAAACAATTGTTTGTGGTTTCTCTTTTTGGTTCTGTTCCTCTTTCTTTTTCTTTCTTTTTTCTTTCTTTCTTCCTTTCTTTCACTAAATTAGAGAACTGCTCTTGCTGAAATTAGGAGAATTTGGATTTATTCCTAAGAATTTTACAACGCTCTCCTGGCTTGCAGGAAATTAAGCTTATTATAGCAGCACCAAGTTTAGAAATGATCACTCATTTGTACCCTTTGTTCTCTCTTCCTACTCTTCATCCTTTTCCTATCTTAAGTTACGTTAACTTCAGCTACTAAAACTTCCTGCCGCCTTACTGTTGCTCTGTCGAGAACTGCTCAAATACCTTTGGTGAGCCCAGCTTTTAAGTATATGATGTCACATATGTCACACATTTCAGTGACAGCTGACACCATCAGAAAGTCCTGTGTCATTAAGGTATTTACTGGCCTTCATGACCCATATGTTAGCCCTTTTCTTGTTACAGTTCTGCTATACTACAGAGTTACCTTTCACACAAAAACAGATACCTTGATGTTTGAGTGGCTTTGGAATAGAATAGATGAGATTCTCAAAAAGGAATCTTGTGCAGTTTCTGTTGGTAGTTCTTAATTTTGCGTTATCTCGTCACTCAGAGATCTGATGGAGGACGCTCTCCCCTGGGGCTGTCATCACCACAAAAAAACTTAGCCCCATAATATTTTGTTAGGAGGATTGGTAGGACAAACGTGAATTTTTAAACTTTATTTAGAAAATTCTGAGGTGAAAGAAAAAAGGGAGGCTGTTAGGCCCTCTTTATTTTATGGAAATCTGTTGCTACAAGGACTAGGCTTGAGAGGAAAAGTTAGGGAACAAATATTGTAACCATGAAAGATGTCATTTTAAGACACTATTATCAACAGTATATTTCAGTATATATAGACACCATGTGCATTTTCGTATTGGTCTAGTGTAAACTGAGTCCACTTTATATTGTCTCTTCCACGGTAAGATGTATGCAGTGTGTGGCCATGTTTACTGACACTCTAGACAAAATTCTGAGACTATAACATGTATATAGTTAATGTTTGTTTGGGCTTGTGACCTAACTTCCAAGAGCTGCTTCTAATTCAGCCTTAGGTCATAAATTAACAGAGTAGGAATTTGAGCACAACCTTGTCCACAGCCATTTTAAATATCCACATAGCCCCATGTAGTTAGTAGGCGGACGGGCCCCACTTTTGCAAGTTGAGCTTGTGCTCCCTACTCAGTTGAGCAGCTTAACATGCTAAGTGAGGTACATTCTCCTATGGACTATGTCAGTATCCCTGTAAGCCTGAAGATATTGTAAGTGACAAGTGATACGATCTAGAAACAGGGGTTGCTGTTTCATTTTTAACCATGGCCTCTTTCAAGTAATATGGTAGTTTTAGGATATTCCAACACGAGTTGCTATAAGCAGTCCTTAATGTGCCTTTGATGGCATCACTCGGAAAACCTCACATCAGAGGGCATCCCACACTAGGTTAAAGTAGATGTTGCCTACTGCTGTGCTTATAAATGAAAAAAGGAGTCTGGGACTCTTAGAAATGCCAGAATGTAAGATATTAATTCAGTGTGCAACCTGGGCCTTTTAAGGCTTGGGTTAACAGGATTTGTTTATTTTCTTAAAATGAGCTTCATTTCATATTTATTATCCTCCTTTACTTCTCTGAGAATGAACTGTGTATAAAATAAGCTTCTATCTACTCGCAGTTACCTTCCAAACCCAATCTATTGGGATGTTTTCATTTTTTTAAAAAGTGGGGAAAAGACCAGAGTTTTATAGGAGAAAATTGGAGGAAAAATGGGCACAAAACCTCAGAAGGCAGCTGTCCCCAGCAGCTCTCTAGTTAACAACCTCCACGCTGCCTCTAGTATCTGTGTCTGTATATTCTACTTCTGTGGTTTTCAGATTGTAAGCCTTTTCTGGCAAGCTTTTTTTTTTCTTTTCCTGAAACTTTTTAATGAATGGCTACGGCACCATTAATGCTGCTGAGTATCTTTAAACTCATCACAAAGGCAAGTGTATAGCTTAAGGCCACTGTTGGTAAGAAAACCAAGTGTCCTCTGTGCCTTTTTTTCCTTTCCTTGAAGTAATTTAAGAACATCCCAAAAATGAGACTAAAAAATTATCATCTTGGTGTGCACCATGGTGTGTATATGCGCTTGGAAGCTTAAAGGTGTTTTGTTATCTGGAACTCAGAAACAGCTCTAAATCTATTAGAGCAGACTTTCTGATATGCCTAGTTTTGTGTGTGGGCTTTGCTGGAGTATGATAGGAAAATGAAGGCTCTTTATCAGCTCTGGTATTGCTTACCAAGAGGGTAATAACTAAACTTGGAAAATTATTTAAGTAGGCTTTATCAAGCAATCTTGGTTTGTTGTTTTTTTAATATAGTTTGTAATGGGTATGTAAAAACAAACATTAAAGGTTTTTTAATGGTGCAGGTGAAGGTGCCAGTTGCTATTTGGTATCACAGTCTACAAAAGCTTCATTACTTTATTTGATGCAGGTTGCTAAGCAGCCATTGCCCAGAGCTTAAGTCTACTGGGTGCCTTTACAAGCCAGAGAGGCTGATGCTGCACTGTTGATGTCATGTGAGGAAATAATGCACATGCTCTAACTGCTACACAGGAAAACCTAGACAAAGTAAATAAATAAAAAGTAAAAAATAAAATAACAAAAAGATTGATTGAAATAAAATTTGATCAACATAACTGTATTTTGAAACATTCCAGGAAGGTTACTTCTTGTCAAACTTGCCTGGGGGTGTTTGTTCAAAGCTTGTATTTAATAAATGAACACCTGACTTACCACCTTTGTTATCACTTCATTACAGTATGAAAAGCTAGTGGCAGTTTCAGAAATCCCTCTGAAATTTTAGAGAACTCTGACCTTCACTTCTCTTTAAGATGGTATCAAATGTGGGTCACCTGGCTAAGCTAACCTCCCTTACCAGGCTTCTGGACCCTGGAGTCATCCAGAGGAGTCTTCGGGCGTGTTTTTCCCTCATCAGTTCACTTCTGACTTCACTTTTCTTTATCTGGCCTAAACTCCAAGTCTTTCATTTTAATCATTCACTGTCACATTCCTGTCTTGCCCCTAGTTTCTGTACCCCTGCCCTGTAAGACCTCAGTGTAGACTGACCCAGTCATTCCTCTCTGTTCCAGTATCCAAGCTACAGACCACTGTTGGAGAAAAATGACACAATCTTTAGAGTGCTGGGACCACAAATCGGTGGTTGCTAACAGTGCCCAACAACCTTTCTGTGTGTCCAGAAATTCAACACCAATCCAAACTTTATGCTTTTTCCACCAATCTTTCTGACCCTCCCACTTAGCCTTCACTGAACATCTTGCCTTCCACTTTACTGGGAAGATTAAACAGAGACTTCAGAATTTCCACTTTAAACTTCTCTCCCATCATCCCATCCGTGAAAAGGCCCCAAGGTTCCAAGGCTAATCCCCCCAGTCTTCTTTCCTGTCTCTTCAGATATTTTATCAATCCCCCTTCTCTATCTTCAGTGTCTACCTTAAGTTCCACATCCTTATTTGGTTTTATTTGGGGGGCGGGGGGGCGCAGAGGGAGAAGGAAAGAATCTTAAGCAGGCTCCACCCAGGTGGAGCGCAATGCTGGGCTCATTTCACAACCCTGAGATCATAACCTGGGGTGAAATCGAGTCAGATGCCTAAGGACTGAGCCACACGAGCGCCCCCTTATTTGGTTTTCTGACACATTCCTTTATAGACATACTTACTCTGGCTTCTATGCTAATTTTCTGAAACTGCTGTAGCTAATATTTCCATATTGGTAAGTTAACCTTCCCAGCCTTAATTTGACTTCTCGGGAGTACTTGGCAGCTGAATCATTCCACTGAAACGATGCTCTTGGATCCTTGATATCACCCCTAATTTTTCTTTCCCCCTGACTATCCCATCAGATTTGCTCAGGCTTCTCCAGGGTACATTACTTGTAATTATGTTTTTCACATCAAATGCCACTTCCCTCGATAATCTTTTCTTCCAGTCATATTAAAGTTTCAACCCTGTAGTACAGAGGTGTTCTGTTACACATCTTCTCTAGAAATCTTTACAGATCACCACCACTCCTAATCCCATACGCCCCTTCCCTGTTTACACTGCAACATCTTCAGATCCCAACTCTGCCACTCGCTACGTGGCCATTTATCAATCCCATTCTTAAATGGGGGACACTGCCTAACACAGGCTTTCTTCAAATTCCAAAATGCCTGGCATACTGGAAGCCCTCAGTAAATTTTCTGTTGCTCCCATCTGCGTAATTCCTTGCGACTCAGGGAATTGGGGGAACTGGACTCCGCTCCCGATACAAGATGCGGGGGAGATCGGAATTAGGAAAGATCAGCTAAAGAAAGGCAAAGGACTGAATCACATGACAGGTTATGTGGCGCCTGCTCGGCCCATAACTTTCCATGTTTAGCCTAGGTCCCTGTCTGCCTTTATAAGACGATCGCCCTGGCCTAGGAACACCTTAGAAATGCCTTCCAGTCCTAACTTCTCACGTTCTCTCAGAAAATCGCCAACACCCGACGCAGAACAGAGGGTGTCCGCGCCACTGCAAGCATGGGAGGCCCAGAGCGCATGCGCTCATCCACCGCTCGTCGGCCTTCCGGACCTCCGTGAGCGGCTGCCCCAAGAGATGCCTGTTCCTCCGCCGAAGCCCACTGCTCTCCACGTGTTCTCTGACCTCACCCTTTCATCTCCATTTTCTCCTCTGCGACTGAAGAGAATAGTGTGGCCAGCTAGATTCCGGAAAGATAACAGGACACCTAAATACCTTGGACCGGCGCGGAAAGAGGAGGCCTGACCTTGGAAGCGGAACTGGGTCCTGCGGCGGGTCCTTCCGGGGGGTGACATTCAGCGGCCGTCCGGGGCGACGGACCTTCCAGCTTGGAGCTATGGCCCAGTTTGTCCGTAACCTCGCGGAGAAGGCCCCGGCGCTGGTGAACGGTGAGCGCGGCGGCGGACTGCCGTGGCGGGAGGGCCTGAGAGGAGGACGCGGGCGGTGGCACCTCGAGGGCCCCGCGGGAGCCGGGGCGGGACGGCCGGTGGGGGGTTAGGGGGGAGGAGGGGCCGGTCTGCGATTCTTCTCTAGCCTTTCCGCCCTCCTGGTCTGCAGCTTGGCTTCTCTGTACACCCTAGAAGTTCGGGATTCTAATCGCGACAGCGAAGTAAGGAAGGGGTGTGCGGGAAGGCTGTAATCGCCCGCCATGACGCCTCCTTAGATGTCGAGGAGTGGGAATATAGAGGGTATGGCCCTGCGGCCGAGCGAGGGAAAGGGAGGGCAGAGGCAAGTGAAAGTTCCGTAAATTCGACCGCATCAGCTTGTCTGGTTCGCAAACGGGGTATCTGGAAGTCTACATACATTTTTAGGGATAGGTATGCTTTTTGAATGTTGACTTTGCCTTCTGGCCTGGCCCGATTATCTAATGGAAATTTTAGGTGGAATTGGACTTTGTGGACGAGTATCTCTGCTCCCACAAACAGAAAGGGAGGTATGTAAACAGTGATCTTTATCATTCTAGCTTAATATTCATGGAGCTTTTCAGTTTGAAAAAACCGAAGTCTTACTGGCAGACCGCTGTACTTCAGAACAACCCTGAATAGTCACAGCCCTGAGTAGTAGCCTCTTTTGTCAGGAAATATTGCAGTTGTCTGCTAGGTAGCAAGCTATTCCATTTTATTTCCAAAGTGAGATGAAATAAAATGAGGGAAGCGGCTTCACTGGATGTGCTGTATTCTAGTGAGCGGTTGAAGCACAGATCTCTAGATAGCTTTCACCCAGGTTTGATTCTGAAATGGGAATGGAAAGAATTTGCTGAATACGTGTAATATTTTTTAACCTATTTTACTGTGATTGGTTTCTTATTCATCTTCCTTTGCTCCCATCAGCAGCCAGTGAGTTACAGTAAATACAGTAACGCTTGAGTGTCTCCTATACAACCCCACAGTCAACTAATTCACACATTTTCCTAAAGAGCTTAAGTTTGCAGTGTTACTAAGAGCGTCACAGTACCTGTTGTGGTAAAGCTGTACAATTTTACATAAATAAGAGAAGGAATCGTGGCTTCATCCTTTGGACTTTGTGGGTGACTCGAAGCAACATTTTTTTTAAGTTTGAGGTGGATTTTTTTTTTTTTCCCTGAGCATGGCTTTCACATCTTTTAGGTGGTGGGATTGAAAACTAATTTTTGTAATAAAATCCAAGAAGAGTAATACCAAAAGAAACAAACTCTTTCCTATATGATTTTGAGTTATTAAAACATAGCAGTTGTTAATCTTCCAAAACTACTCAAAAAAGAGCTCAGCTAGGGCCAGACTGTTAAATGTGAAATATATTTTGCTTTGTAACATAATTCAGGGTATTAAATTTGAATGTTAAGTATCTAATAAAAATTGGGACACCTGGCTAGCTCAGTCAATGGAGCCTGCAACTCTTGATCTTGGGTTGTGGGTTCAAGCCCCACATTGGGTGTAGAGATTACTTAAAAATAAATTCTTTTTTAAAAAATTACTAATGGGGCGCCTGGGTGGCTCAGTCAGTCAAGCGTCTGCCTTCGGCTCAGGTCATGATCTCAGGGTCCTGGGGTCGATGAGCCCCGTATCGGGCTCCCTGCTCCACGGGAAGTTTGCTTCTCCCTCTCCCTGCTGCTCTCCCTGCCTGTGCGCTCGAGCGCGCTCTCTCTCTGTCAAATAAATAAATCTTTTAAAAACTGACTATAGGAGCACCTGGCCGGCTCAGTCTGTAGAGCATGACTCTTGATCTCTGGGTCGTGATTTTGAGCCCCATGTTCGGCATAGAGGGTTTTGTTTGTTTGTTTGTTTTAATATAAAATTTAAACAAAAATTACTGACTGTGTCTGTTAATTCCCCTGGGGGCACAAAGAAGGTTACAGAAATAAGTAACTTTATCATTAGACTTCCCCAGAGAAGTCACAGAGTCTAATTTTTTTCCCGTTTACTAAACTTGAGACGTTATTGCGATTTTACCAGTCTTTCCATTAATCTCTTTCTGTTCCAGAAGCCCATCCAGGTTCCACATTGTATTGAGTTAATCTCCCTAGTTTCCTCTGATGTATAACACTTTAATGGCAGTTTTTCTTACTTTCCACAACTTTGTCAGTTTTTAAGGTATCTATGTAGATACCTCTCTAGGTATCCTATAAAGATGTTCTCCAGTCTGGATTTGTCTGGTGTTTTTCTCAAGATTAGTCTGGAGCTATGGGATTTGAGAAAGAATACCACAAAAGTGAAGTGCTATAATCACATATCAGGATGTACATGATACCCATATAAAATCACTGGTGAAATTAGCTTTCATCATTTGGTTATGGTAGTGTTGGTAGGTTGCTCACTGTAAAGTTACTGTTTTTCCCTTCCCATCATCTGTTCTCCAGACGCAAGTACCTAAGTCTAGTCTGTGGTGTGTGTTGAGGGGGCAGGGAGCAGCTGCCGACAGCAGGGATTCCATCTCCTGTAGGAAGGAGTATTTACATATAATTAAATGGAATTCTATGAGAAAGATTTGTTCTTCCCTGTTTGTTTATTCAGTCATGTATTGTATGGATTCATGTACATTTATTTCCTACTTCTTACCTCCAGTAGTATGTTATTTATTTTGTTCAGATTGTTGCAGCCTTGGCCATTGAGAACACTTTCAGGTTGGCGCCTCTGTCCATGGACCTGCCCCCTTTCTTGTACTACAAAATCTTCAAACTCATGTTACATTTTCCCTGCCCCAGCCTTAGAATTACCCATTTCTCCAAGGAGCCCTAGTTTTCTTTTGGTGGACAGTGGTACTTTGAAACTAAGATCTAGGCACTGAATATCTTTCCTGCTACTAGACTGCTAGAATACCATTGCTTCTAGGTTCTCTTAAGGGTGTGTGTGGGGGCACCTGGGTGGCTCAGTTGGTTGGGCATTTGCCCTTGGCTCGGGTCATGATCCCAGGGTCCGGAGGTTGAGCCCCACGTCGGGCTCCCTGCTCAGCAGTGGAGTCTGCTTCTCCCTCTCCCTCTGCCCCTGCTCCTGTACTCTCTCTCCCTCACTTTGTCTCTGAAGTAAATAAATCTTTTTTTTTTTAAAGATTTTATTTATTTGAGAGAGAGAGAATGAGAGAGAGAGAGAACATGAGAGGGGGGAGGGTCAGAGGGAGAAGCAGACTCCCTGCTGAGCAGGGAGCCCAATGCGGGACTCGATCCCGGGACTCCAGGATCATGACCTGAGCCGAAGGCAGTCGCTTAACCAACTGAGGCGCCCAGTAAATAAATCTTTTTAAAAAAGGGTTTGTGTGTGTGTATATAGTAACCCATTTATACATATGCATATACATGGTGGGTTTTTTATCTATCCACCTGTATATATATTAAACTACACATGAGTTCGTATGAATGTCTCCAACTCTAATCCAGTACCATGGGATTTATTCTTGCTTCTTTTCTTGCCTGTTTGTAGTTTTCCTCTCCTGTAGTGAGAAACCTGGCTCCCATCATCCACCATTCATTTACTTATGTTTTATTCATCCCTTGTATATATGTAAAGCAGTTTCAAACTTTTTAGCCTGTACTCCCTGGAAAACAAATTTGCCAACTAAAGTATACTGTCTGTGTACAGTGTACTGGGTTGTTTTTTTTTTTTAAAGAATGAAATATGTGTTGAAGATAATTGTAAAGACAGTTACACAAGATTTTGTACTCTGCGATAGCCCCATCTTACAGGTACTGTCAGTTCTATGTAGAACTACCTGTGAAAGCCTTGTGCCTGCTTAAAGATTTACCCATGGCCCTAAGCACAAAGGATGATGCGGATAGTAATTCTAAGAGTAGTCAGAGAGAGTGGGCACGAGCTTGAGCAGGGGGGAGGGGCAGAGGGAGAAGCCAACTTCCCGCTGAGCAGGGAGCCCAGTGCAGGATCCCAGAACCCTGGGATCATAACCTGAGCCGACGGCAGACGCTTAGCCACATGAGCCACCCAGGTGCCCCCCATCTTCGAGTTGTAGGCAGTTTATGGATGTTCATGCAAGTGTGCTGTTTTTATTACGTTTGTCTTGTAGCTTTTTTTATAAAATGCCTTTCTCAGGATACCTGGGTGGCTCAGTCAGTTAAGCATCTGCCTTGGGCTCAGGTCATGATCCCAGGGTCCTGGGATCAAGTCCCACATCTGGCTCCTTGCTCAGCAGGGAGTCTGCTTCTCCCTCTCCCTCTGCTGCTCCCCCTGCTTGTGCTCTGTTGCTCTCTGTCAAATAAATAAATAAAAATCTTTTTTAAAAATTAAAAAAATAAAATTAAATGCCTTTCTCTTGCTGAAATCACTACCATAATCTTACATCTACCCTGGTTATTAAGAATTTTTTTTTTCTCTGAAATAGTAACTACCTTGAGGAATTTCAGCATAGGAATAGATTTGAGTTTGGCTGCTCTGAACAATACATGTAAGTTTTATTATTATTATTTGTGTTGTTTTGAAGGAGGAGCAGCTGGGCTTCTGTTAAAGAAAGATTTAATCCACATATTGATGAGGATACCAAAAATGGGCCTTTAATTGGTATAATTCCATCTGGATTTGTAGCCAACAATGTGACAAGTTTTAATCTTATTCTTAAAGATGCCGTTCTATGTAGCTCCTTCCCTCCCCTTCTGCATTTTTTGCCTCCAGATTTTCTGCTCTCTCTACCAAGAAAATTTGGTTACATTGCTGCTGTTTTCTTGCTTCTGAATCCAACGTCTCGCAACTTTTAACAGTTAACTAGATTTGCCATTCATAAATGAAGTAACAGTACTAGCTGGCCACTAGTGAAGTCCTGACATAATTGAATGTGCTTATAGCTTCCTGCCTGATTGAACGTCCCTGTGACACAGGTGTTCTGCATCTTTAAAAGCCTCTTGTTACCAGGGAGCAGCTTTGACTTTTCACACCGGGTGCACATTTGGTACAAGCAGTGAATGAATGTGATGCATGAATAAATATTTGTGTCCAGCCCACACATCTGCTTCTTTCGGTCTCTAGTGAGTTCATCCTGGTTTTTTGTTTTGTTTTGTTTTGTTTTGTTTTGTTTTGTTTTGTTTTGTTTTCCAGCTGCTGTGACTTACTCAAAGCCTCGACTGGCCACATTTTGGCACTATGCCAAGGTTGAGCTGGTTCCTCCAACCCCTGATGAGATCCCTACAGCTATTCAGAGCCTGAAAAAAATAGTCAAAAGTGCTCAAACTGGTAGCTTCAAACAGCTCACAGTTAAGGTAACTATGGGCTAAATGAAAATGTATGTGCATAACAGAAAATGTCTTCCCTTGGGATTTTTCTGATTGTTTTGATTAATATATGTATTTTCCAGTGAGGCTGAAACCTACATGAGAGATAATCTCTTTCTTGACTGCTGAGAAAGATATTTACCTTTCTAATTTTGTCATCGGGGTTGAAATAATTCAGCTATTTTATGTCTTCGTTTCCTATTAGTCTTATAACAAAGAAAGGAGCATTTTTACTGGGCAGCTTTTTTTTTTTCCTCTCCTATTTTGGTTAGTATATTAAAAGAGGGTGGCTTACTTTGCTGATTCTTTTTTTCATCTGTAGGCCTGGAAATACTCCCAGTTTAGCCAAAAGATCTCTTGGACTATCAGGCGGCTAACACATGAAGATAAAAATACCAAAACCTAGCAAGCATATCATGTAATATGGAGGGTAACTGAATTGCATTAAGATAAAATCTAAAGACTATAAGGATTGGAACTTGGATTTTATGTTTGCTTGCTTGAGTCAAACACAGGATACAAAAAGCCTAAATAAATTAAATTGTTACTGACTTTAGAATCTACATCCTGGAAAATACAGTTACTCTAGTTTGAAGGGGAAAATTAAAATTCACATCCCAGGTGCTAAAAGGAAAAGGCCCAGTTTTGTTGTAGAGGGGTACTGTTTTCAACTAGAGTTTCAAGATCCATAGTTGCACTTGGATGCAACATTGCTTTTTGGAACCAATCATGTGCTTTTTCTCTCAGGGCAGTAAAATATTGATCTGTGAAACTGAGTCATTATTGAATACTTGGAAAGAGTTAAGCCACATAATAAATGAATAAAGGGGAAGACAGAGCTCTTCATCTCTCAACAAATTCTCTTCGGCCAGACAGAAAGTTTATTCAGAGACTTACCTTCCTATAGCTGTCCTTTCACATGAATGCCCTGTCCAAATGTGTCAGCTCTTTCCAGGTTGTGGGTTGTTTTCGGGGCTCCTAAAGTGTCTCATAAACTAATAATGAAAGGGTTAAGTCAGTTCAGGTCTTTAAAGAATGCTTTGAAAGAATTTATAAGCTCTGGACTACTTTAGCTTACATAATTGAAAGTTCAAGTGTTCTCAGCAGTTGAACAAAGTTAACATCAGTAAATCTTGACTTTGGCTAAAACTCTAAATGAATAGCATCCTTATATTCTCTGTTACTTAATCCTGGAGAAGAATACTTTTAAATATGTAAGGAAAAAAATGTACATTAAAATCTGTGCTGCTTTTTTCAGGAAGCTCTGCTGAATGGTTTGGTGGCCACCGAGGTGTGGATGTGGTTTTATGTCGGCGAGATCATAGGCAAGCGTGGCCTCATTGGCTATAATGTTTGAAGACCAATCTTTAACATCTGTTTGTATGTGGCTTATTATTTGAGTGTTCTTGGACCATGTGTGATCAGACTGGTATTTGAATAAAAGAAGATAATGTATCAAAATCAATGTTTTCTCTATCAGACGCTACATGGATCACAGTTTCTCTTGATAATAAGATGGGTTGTCTTCCTTTAATACATTAATAAAGCTCTAAGGGCATGTCTTTTGCTTAGCCTAAAATTGGAGAGGATATATGTGAATATACCAGTCTGGCAAATACATTCATGAGGATAACATTCTAATTTGAAGATTTGAAATACATGATAAATTTATTTGATTTCCAGAATAGTCAGGGGAAAGGTCTTAGGAAAACTAGGACTTGCTACAGTAGGAAAAATAGTAATACCACATGCCAAAGTGATATAGTTAAATCATGTCCATAATATAAAGAATGAAATTTGGATGGTTTCTCTTTGCTAGAATCAGAGATAGACTTTGATAACACCTGCATTTACAAATGTTAGAGTGCTTGGTGGTATTCTAAGTAAGTATCTTTATACCATCTTTAACACCAGGACAGAGCTACTGAGAGCCACCACCTCCTTTTTAAATATAATTTTGATGTGTGTTATATTATTAATCTATTCAGTTCATGATTTTTAGAGCCTATCTTTACAAAAATAAAATACTCTATGGATATTTAAATAGTTATAAATTTAGTATCCTCCATCGTTCTAAAGAGCTACCATTATGTCCTGAAATAAATAGAAATGCTTGCTATCAGTCTGTCTTCTTGAGCTGTTAATTTATTGAGGATGTAGGAGAGACTTAATCATTCGTTGGCTTTTCTGGGGATTTTACCATCTTTGAATGGTTTATTGGTATATTTCTAAATCCATTGTTAACTCCCGCAGCCATTGGAAAACATGCATTACCAGCTGATGATAACCAAAAGCTAAATGCATATTGGAAAAGCATCATGGCTCACAGTAGAGTATTAATACTTTAGTAGTATTGAATATTTATCCGGTCAGTCCCAAATTTATCCACTGCACTTAGAAAATCAGTGCTTTAGCTTAGTCAAGGGCAGTTTTCCTACGCGATCAGCAGGAAAGTCTCCACAGAGACTGCAGCTCTTCTGAAATGAAGTCATGCCTAACTTACTGCTTCTCGCAGTAATCACAGGTGGTCAAAACTGAAACTACCCCTTCAAAAGGCATTCGGTAACTTAAAATATGCATAGCAAAAGACTGAAAATTACTACTACAGTCATGGTGATCTTTGGGAGTTTTTCCATTTCATACAGTGAGTACTAAAATTAAATTTAGGGGCGCCTGGGTGGCTCAGTCGTTAAGCGTCTGCCTTCAGCTCAGGTCATGGTCCTGGGATCGAGCCCAACATCGGCTCTCTGCTCAGCGGGAAGCCTGCTTCTCCCTCTCCCACTCCCCCTGCTTGTATTCCCTCTCTGTCTCTCTGTCAAAATAAATAAAACCTTTAAAAAAAAAATTAACAAATTTAAAGGTATGAGATTAGCTAGCACTAATAACCTGCAAGGCCTAGTTGATTCATGACATGTAATTTTTTTTTTTTTTTTGTAACCATCTGGTCACCCCCAGAAGGTCCTCAAAATAAACATTTACTACTCACTTCACTGCAACTTCCTTCTCTGCCATCCAGCACACCTCCAATGTGTGGTGCCCAATAGTGTACGTACAGTATTTTCTTAGGTTAAAATAGCAGTGGGCTTCTTGAAGTGGCAACTTCACCTCACTAGCCAGTTACCTTTTGCCCTCCTGACCCCCAAATGTCTCACAGTGAAGAACTGTTGAGGCTGGCTTTCACTGAATTTGTGGGTGCCAAGTGTCTGCCAATGACAACTTCAGCATCCCTCAGATACTCTCTGCATGCATCCTAAAGCCAGGCACTATTTAGAGACACTCATGAACAAGACTGAACGTTACCTGTTCGGGGTTTGGTCTGGTGAGACACATAATTAAGCATGCAGTTAAAACAACGTGAGAAGTGTTACAATGAGGGAAGTGGAAGGTATGCTTGAAAGAGTCTAACCCAGACTTGAGGGTTCAAGGGGGGGAGGCTGTCAGAGGAACCAATATCCAAAGTAAACCAGAAAAGTAAGAGCCAAGAATGGGACATGGTACACTGGGCAGGTAGAGCAGCCTGTGTAAAGGCTGTTACTCAGGGGCACCTGGGTGGCTCAGTCGGTTAAGCGTCTGCCTTTGGCTCAGGTCATGATCCCAGGATCCTGGGATTGAGCCCCATGTCGGGCTCCCTGCTCAGCGGGGAGCCTGCTTCTCCCTCTGCCTCTGCCGATCCCCCTGCTTGAGCTCGCTCTTTCTCCCTCAAAATCTTTTTTAAAATAAACATTTAGAGTCTTTATATGAGGCTTTCATTTTAAGATCACATTGAATGTGAAACTGTCCACATTATACACTTAATTCTTTGTTCTATACACTGCACACACTCCTTGAATAACAGTTTCTCCTTTTCCACTCCTTACATACCTAAGTTTCTTCTGCCCTGATTTCTAAGGATAGCTCAGTGCAATTTACTTTCTTCATATTTCATATTTGTACAGCACTTCACATCTTCAAAGCACTTGCACTATCTCATTTCGCCCTCGACTCCCCTGAGATATGTGGCGTAAATGATGGACCCATTTAACAGGAATTAAGCATCAAGAAACATTAAATGATTTGGCGAGGATCCCATGAGTAATAAGTGGCACCCCAAATTGGGCCCAGGTAATGACCCCATGTTGTAGTCTGTGCCCTAACTGTATGCTAGATCCTGTATTGCATTTTCACAGTTTCAATCTATATTAACGTTCTGTGTATTCTCACGCCTATTTTGCCCTACTACCAAGCTACTAAAGCTTTATTGTTGCATCCAATGTCATCCCACCTAATCTTATGTGAAGTGGTATCTAGCTTTGTGAGACTTAGTGTTTCCTAAGTGTAGTTTTTATTTCTACCAGAAATGAATGGGTCAAGTTGTGATCACCCAAGATAACCACAGTGCAGTTCCACCAGAGATTCCTGTAGCAGGGAACTCACACTGACCCTCGTAGCTACTACTACTACGAAAATAATTGCCATGGAAGACCCTTGACGATCTGCCTGCAGCCTTGCCTTCACCTCTGCTGCTATCAGCCTTTGCTCCAGACACACAATTTCCAACTAGTCCCCATAAAAGCCAATCTCCTCGCATTATTACCCACTATCCCTGATTGTTGCAGTTCATCAGTCACCAGACCATTCTTTATTTCATTTTTTTTTTTTAAGATTTTATTTATTTGAGGGGCGCCCGAGTGGCTCAGTCGCTGAGCGTCTGCCTTCGGCTCAGGTCGTGGTCCAGGGGTCCTGGGATCGAGCCCTGCATTGGGCTCCCTGCTCGGCGGGAAGCCTGCTTCTCCCTCTCCCACTCCCCCTGCTTGTGTTCCCTCTCTCATTGTGTCTCTCTGTCAAAGTCTTTAAAACAAAAAAAAAGATTTATTTGAACGAGTTCACGTAAGCGGTGGGGGAGGGGGCGCGGCAGAGAGAGGGAATCTTCAAGCAGACTCCCCACTGACAGAGCCCGACCCCCCGTCAGGGCTCGATCTCACGACCCCTGAGACCGTGACCTGAGCCAAAAACAAGAGTTGGACACTTTATCAAACTGAGCCACCCAGGCGCCCCAACCATTCTTTTTTTTTTTTTTAATTTTATTTATTCATTTGACAGAGAGGGAACACAAGCAGGGGGACTGGGAGAGGGAGAAGCAGGCTCCCCACTGAGCAGGGGGCCCGATGCGGGGCTCGATCCCAGGACCCTGGGATCATGACGTGAGCCGAAGGCAAGACGCTTAACTGACTGAGCCACCCACGCGTCACCATTCTTTTATTTCTTGACAATTTTTTTCTCCCAGCTCACTATCACTCTACAAAACTACTTACATCTTAATAATTGGCAATTTCAACATACACATGGATCAGTGGTTTTCCAAGTGTGGTTCCTGGACCACAGCAGCAGCATCACTAGGAAACTTAGAAATGAAAATTCTCAGACTCAGAGCTACAAACTCGAGGTAGGACCTGGCAATCTGTGTTTTTTGTTTTTTGTTTTTTTAAAGATTTTATTTATTTATTTGAGAGAGAGAGCACATGAGAGGGGGGAGGGTCAGAGGGAGAAGCAGACTCCCCGCCAAGCAGGGAGCCCGACGCAGGACTCGATCCAGGGACTCCAGGATCATGACCTGAGCCAAAGGCAGTTGCTTAACCAACTGAGCCACCCAGGTGCCCTGGCAATCTGTGTTTTAACCGGTTCTCCATGTGATTCTGACACATGCTAAAGTTTGAAAACCACTGACACAAATGATCCAACAAACGAACCTCTTGGTTCCTGTTAAAGTCCATTGATTAGATCTTTCACCTTCCTTGGGCTCTCATTCCCATTCATTACCAGTCTTTTCAACCACTCCATAGATTGAATTTCATGCCTCCCTCTCTCTGACTGCCTATATCTTGCCCACCCATTTCGTCTAATACATTAATTTGGAGTTACTGTGACCATCAATAAATGGATTCTACCATCTCCCTCACCACCCTGATGTCCTCCTTTCCTTCCTTACCCGACTTACTTATATTCCATGTTCAGTCATGATCACTCTCATGAATATACCCCCAACATCCTTGCCTCTCACTCACTTTGTTGCGCTCATTTGCCAGACCACATCCTTGGCTAAGTCTACAGTATGCTCTGCACTTGCACCCATGTAGTTGGAGAGAATAAGTTGGTTAGTCTCACTGCAATAATAGAAATTCCTGAGCAGAACTTTAAGAAAGCATTTAATACTACCTGACAAGCATATTTTTATTCCTTGGAGCCGTGATTATTTCTGTCAACAGATGACCTTTCCTCCTACTTTTGGAGAACTTCCATTGACTCCCACAACATTGTCTACTCACCACTATCTGCACTCATGTGTATACTCCGCCTTGCCTGTACTGGGTTCTTCATGCTCCTTTTTTTTTTTTTTTTTAATTAATTAATTTATTTATTTATTTAAATATTTTATTTTCAAGTAATCTCTACACTTTAAAGATTTTATTTTAAGTTATCTCTACACCC